CCGCCCCTGCCCCCGGCCACCGCCCCTGCCCCCGGCCCCTCTTCTTGACCCCTCGCTGGTCCCCTCTTCAGTCCGGGCTGTTCTGTGAGTGTGTTCCCGCCTGGAGGCTCCCGCCCCGCTGCCCCTCCAAGCAATGGCCTTTCCTTTCTCCCAACCCATGCCGAGTTCGCCGTCCTCATCCACCCGCCGCCAGGCCTTTGAGGGGGAGACGGTGATAACCCTGGTCCCCCAAAACTGGGCACGATGGACACCCGTCCCGTGGAGGGAAACACGGCCGTCATATCCCAGCTCCTTGTACGTTCTGATCGCATTCCTTGTGGGTTTGATTGGCAGGGCTGCACCCGGAGTGGTAGAGCCATGGCAACCAGAGAGCCGCCTCTGCTCCGTCCCTCCTGCTCACAGTGGGTGTGGGGGGGGGGCTGGGTCAGGGCCCGGGCCAGCCGGACAAGGCCCAGGAGAGCAAGACAGGGTCCCGGCCACCAGGACAAGGCCTGAGCCAGCCGGACAAGGCCCAGGAGAGCAGGACAAGACCCGAGTGAGCACCCCAGCGTGTGCTCGGCACACAGGGGAGCTAGCTCCCCACAGTGCCCACACCGCCTTCCAAGTTCCAAACGGAATGTTTACGGCGGCTGCCCGGTGGACCTGGCCCTGCGACCCATCCCATTCCGAGCTTTCCAGGAGCGCTTCTGTGTGAGCCAAGGCAGACGGCCAGGCTCTTCCGAGGGGCCCAACGAGGTACCCACCCCACCCACCCCATCCACACCACAGCTTCCAGAACGGGCCCCACCCCCCACCACCACCACACCTCAGCCACGCGACGCTTCCCGGCTCACGCTGAGAACCTGCAGAGACGGAGCGAAGAAGACCCAGGAGATGGATCCACGCGTGCGGAAGGGACACAGCCACGCTGACCGACACTTGTGTTCCACCGTGAATACAAATTACAACGCAGAAACCTTGTCTTTCACCCCCGCAGGGTCTCGATGCCCAGCCCGGGATTACACGCGCTCTGTTGGAATTTGTTCTGGGGTCCGAGCGGGAGTCGATCCGGACAATAAAGGCACTTGGCTTGGGTGATGGCGTCCGTGTGTGTACAGGCGCTGTGAGGATCATCCTGTGAACGCCACGCTGGACGCAGGCTTGTAGACTTTTCTTCTTTTCTCTCGTAAGTCTAGTGGGGTGATCTGAGGACAGGGCACGGGGCCGTGGACACGTAGGGTCAGGAACAGCGTCCGGATTTGCTCTGATGTTCCTCGGATCCCCACAAGTCATATTTTCACATATTTTTGCAACGTTTTGTCTAGGACAAAACGTGACGAGGTGCACCATCTTTGGTCCCATCCTGGGACTTGAACTCAGGGTCTGGGCGCTGTCCCTGAGCTCTTCCTTTGCTCAAGGCTAGTGCTCGGCCGTTTTGAGCCACAGCTCCACTTCGAATTCATTGGAGATAAGAGTCTCACGGACTTTTCTACCTGAGCTGGCTTTGAACCTCAGATCTCAGCCTCCTGAGTAGCTAGGATGACAGGCGTGAACCGCCAGTGCCCACCACCATATCTATTTTCTTTTAAGAAGATGGGTGGGCATGTGGGGGAGCGAGGCTCACCTACTCTGCCCCCCAAATTCTTCAACAGAGGGAATTTTATTAAAACAAATGGCGACCACACAGGAGCCATGTATAAAGGTGGCACTCAACCAGACGTACGTGGCTAGAACACACGTGCACGCACACTTCTACCGAAACACTTAGAAAAAGATAAAGCTGGGATTTTATAGACGTACCTCCGAAAGAAAACAAAAAACCCTGATGCTGAGGCTGAGCCCCGAGTCTCTTCAGTGAGGGACGTAGCGTTTCGCGGAAGAGTTAAAATTGGAAGCTACACCGCTCCATCCAGTCCATCTGTCTCTCTTTAGCGCGGTGGCAAAAATCAAGATTATGTATGAAATTCACAATATACAACAGACGGTACAAAGGAAGAGTCTGCTGGGAACAACAGCCAACAGTCTTCCAGGACTGGAATGTCTGGCCGAGGTAGTGTCCTTAATTCATGTCTTCATGTAGTTGATTCACGACCGCATACATTTAACCCACTTTTCTTTTGCTCCAATGTAAGTCACAGTTTGGGCTAGAGAGGCTAGCTTTCCAACAAAACTCTTGGTATTTTCTTTGGGTTTAAATGTTCATTCTTTTTAAAGTAATTTTTATTATCTTTAAGTACCGGTGCAAAGGAGTTATCATTCAACAAAGCAGTGTAGGAATACTGCGGAGAGAGTAAGCTTGAATTTCTACTAGTGTAATAGTGTTGTATGCAAACATTATTCCAGAAGAAGCCAGTTCCACCAGCAAATCCTAATTTTATTTTTATTTATTATTATTCTTTTCTGTAATCCTGGAACTTGAACTCAGGGCCCTGCACCTGCTCAGATGGTACTCTACCCTTAGAGCCATACCACCTGCCCAAGTTTTTCGATTGTACTGGATTTTTCTACCCAGGCTGACTTAGAGCTGTCATCCTTTGAATCTCAGAATTACAGGTGTGACTCACTGGTACACTCTGAGAATTGCATGGTTTTCAAGACAGGGAAGTGGGGTTTGCAAGTGTAACTTTAAGTCCACGTTTCTTTTCAAGTAATAACCCTCAGGTGAAAGACCAACATGAATATTAGGAAGAGTGACTTTTCTTCCGTGCTGAACTGCATGGCACAGATCGAATCCCCGCGATTCTGTCTCTGAGTAATCAATGGGGACAATTCAGATGCCTGCACTAACCACACGCCGCGTGCTATTTTGTAATGTGCAAAAGATACTGTGTCCCTTCTTTTTGAAAAGATGGTTTCCATTTTCCATGTTTAAATATGGATTTTTGCCACAAGTGATCATTAACTAGAACTCCAAAGGTATTTAGAACTAGAGGGGAAATGACCTTTAAACTTGGATTTCAAGTGACAAGAGTTATTTCTGTCTAATACAATTTAACGAAAACACCGACGAATAACTTTCGTGACAACACACAGTACAGTAAGAGAGAGAAAAAAATGTTTTCGTTTGCTTGTCTCTATGATTAAAAAAAATAAGTGTTAAACTCCAGTGACTACACTGTGAGAGCAAGAGAGAGAGATGCCAAAAGCTTGTCTGGGGTAAATGATGTAGGATGTGTATTTCAGAGAAAATAAAGAAAGCTGGGTGCTGGTGGCTCACACCTGTCATCCTAGCTACTCAGGAGGCTGAGATCTGAAGATCATGGTTTGAAGCCAGCCCGGGCAGGACAGTCTGTGAGACTCTTATCTGCAACCAACTTCAAGTTCCAATTAATCCATCCATTACGGATCACCAAAAACAAATAGCTGCCTTTGTTGCCACGTGTTAACCTGTGCTATAAAACTTGGGACTTTATTATCATCTTCCTTTTAATTCGATGAATGGATCGTTCGGTGGATGGTAGTGTTCCTTCTGTTATGTAAATACCGTGGTAGAATCTGAGATTTGCCTGTGCTTTGGGAACAAGAAATTATTTGCTTGTGTGGGTGTGCAACTTAAGTTTGGTCTGCCTGCTTTGCACTTCTTTACTTTGTCCTCTGCTAGATCAACCAGCTGGAGGTGTGCCAGCGTTTCGACATGGATGGTACGTACACAAAACCCACACCCTGGAAGATGTGAAGGGGACCCTGTGGGTATAAATCTACATAGAGAGAGCTCAAGCTGGGCGCGGGTGGCTCACACCTGTCATCCTAGCTACTCAGGAGGCTGAGATCTGAGGATCACGGTTCAAAGCCAGCCCGGGCAGGAAAGTCTGTGAGACTCCTATCTCCAAAAAACCACCAGAAAACCGGAAGTGGCACAGTGTTCTCAAGTGGTAGAGCACCAGCCTTGAGCTGAAGAGCTGAGGGACAGTGCCCAGGCCCAGAGTTCAAGCCCCATGACCGACACACACACACACACACACACACACACACACAGAAAGAGTTTGATAGGAATTGACATATCCATTTCATGTTTGAAAAACTCTCCCCCTCCCTCCCCGCTCTCCTCCCGTGTGAGATGAGGCCATGCGGAGAGAGACACCGGTGGGTGGCGTGTTGCTCATTTAAACCCCCGGAGTTTAGATTCCGCCTCTGGGGTACCTGGGTACGATCTGAAGCTGCCCATTGCAGGCGCCGCTGACCTCCCCCCCTCCTTTTGCTGCCCAGCCCTGTGTCACCCAGAAATCCACAAGACCTATGACATCCTGAACAGCCAAGGCCACAGGATGTACTTCGCGGAGGAAAGGAGCAGCTGGCTGCTGCGGTACCTGTGCGGCTCCTCGCGGGCCTTTACTGTGAGCATCTACGACAATGTGGGCCAGGAGGTGATCGCCGCGCACAAAGCGCTCAGATGCCACAGCTGCTTCCTGCAGAAGGTCAGCTCAGCCGCCGTGGCCGCACCGGCCAGGCTCCCACGCAGACCGCACCGCGGTCCCCGAGGCACGGGTCCCGAGGCGAACCCCCCACCCCCACCGCCCCGTCCGAAGCTAGGCTTGGAAAATCAACCGTGGCTGGGTTGGTAAAGCCCCCTTCTTGGGGCTTGAAACTCAGGATCTGGGCGCGGTCCCTGGGCTTTTTCATTCAAGGTTGGCACCCTACCCGCTGGAGCCGCCGCTCACTGCTGGGTTTTGTTTTGGAGGTTCCCTGGAGGTAAGAATCTCGCTGACTTTCCTACCCGGGCTGGCTTTGAACCATGGTCCTCAGATCTCAGCTTCTTTGAGTGACTAGGGTGATAGGCGTGAGCCACCGGCTCCCAGCTTCCTGACTGATTTCATACTATCGCCTTAGGGTGGTAAGTGTTTACATGTGCATCTATTTGTGTGTGTGTGTGTGTGTAAGTATGTATATATAGATGTGCATATATATAGATGTGCATATATAGATGTGCATATATATATATATATATATATATATATATATATATATATATATATATATGCACACACAGACACCACACAAACACACTAAGTTACTCCTGAATCCAGCAGCTTACAATTCCAATATCCAATAGCTCACACGAGGAAAAAAGAAAATCAAATAGCCTGGTTTGTCCGAGTGAACATGAGTCTGTGGAGAAGGAATCTGCCAGAACGTGGCCACCTTGGTGTCCAGCGGTGGGCAGAAAACCCTCTTCCAAGAAAGATTCCTCCAGCGCTTAGCCTGAAGCGGAAGCCGGCCCTGGCGCAGGTGTGTCAGCGTCTGAGGCCTGGTTTTCTTCCTGTTTCCTTCCGTTTCCTGCAGCTCACGGTGGAGGCCCCGCCGGGCGAGAATATCGGCTATGTCTGCCAGTGTTTCCCGCCTCTGCGGCCCAAATTTAAAATTAGAAACCAGGATAAAGAGGAGGTGATGAAAATCAAAGGGCCATGCCGGGTCTCCAGCTGCCTGAGAGACATCCAGTTCAACGTGAGTGGCTCGCCACGCCTTCGCGCCGTCCCAGGGAAACCAGACAGAAATCACGGTTACTAGAGCAACATGTCCTCTGGAAACCACCCTTAGGTGCTGTCCCTGGATGAGGAGACAATCCTGGGGAGCATTTCCCAGCGCGGTCCTGGTTGTGTGACACACGGCCACAAATTCAGAGTCCAGCTGCCCTTCAACCTGGATGCGAAAAGCAAAGCCACCGTGCTGGCCGCCAGCTTCCTCGTGGTGAGTCTCTCTGGTGGCTGAAAACCACATCAAACGTCTCCCCTTCCCATCCACCCTTTGCACCCAAGGTTGACATTTTCCCCTCCGGTCCTGATTGCCAGTTGTGCCCTTCCCCGCCCCCCTCCAGCCTGGCATAGGTTCATTCTTTCTACACCAAAGCCAGCAAAAGCCACAGAGCAATCTGCAGAGATTGAAAATTTAGCGACATAAACCCTCCGAGTATTTTATCCTGAATCACCAACAGCAGCCTACGAACCTGTTAGACAATCGGTGACATGTGTTTAGAAGGAATTAGAAACAAAACACTAATGGTAGATTTTTTTTTTGGTCTCTTTTGTCCATTTTCTATACAAAGGTGCAAATGAAAATACCTGTGTGAATTTTTTGCTTGCTGGATGGTTCTCAAACGACCTTTAACCTCCATGTTGGCATTCTGAGAGTCATAAAAATCTTTCCCATTTCCTTCAGGGTTTGATCTTTAGGAGTCATGTCTTATAATCACAGCATAGAGTGCCAGACATTAAAAGGCCTTTCACACCTAATATATGTCACTGTCTCCACTACCAAAGCCCTGAATCTCACCTACTTCTGCTTTTCTCTAGGATTATATGTATTTTGAATTCTGCCCCTAAGAATGAGTGTCAAAAAAAAAAAAAAAAGATATGCCAAAGATGAGCAGCCTTGAATTTGGCCAGCCTTCAGCAAAATGTAAAAACAAAACAACACATACATGCACAACTTTTCCACCCAAACTATATCTCATCTCACTACGAAGACCTCTGTGTGGTGGTTGTTTTTTTTTTTTCCTGTTTCTTGTAAATATACCAAAGCATGTTTAGTTACTGAAATAAAGTCCTGAGTTCCAGGTCCTGCTCATCGTTCTCTTAACAATGGCTTGTGGTCAGTCCACACACTGGTGGGGGGGGGCAGGGAGGATTTGTTCCCCAAAAGTTCATCCACTTATCTGGATTGGGCAAAAGGGACAGCAAAGCCACAGCAGACCCCGGTCACCATTTAGAACATGGAACAAAGCTCCCACAAGAGGGAGCGAGGAACAAGTCCAGAAGCTCACGTGAAGACACAGCCTGGCCTCCTCGGCAGAAGAGCTGGACATGGAACCCATCTCTTCATGCTGACACGTGTGTGTTGCACGTGGATTTACACATGCGTGTGCACGGTTTGGGGCAACAGTGAGGTTTGCGTGCAGGCCTTTTCTTGCACTAGACCAGCACTCTACCATTGAAACCACACCAGCCCCTTTTCATTGCAGGATTTTTTTTCAGTGAGGGTCTCTTGCTCTCTCCCTGAGCAAGCCTTAAGCCACAATCCTTCCTACCTCGGTCTCTGGTATAGCTGGGATCACAAGCTTGAGGAGATCTATCAGCTTTGAAATCTGTCCAGTGCACTTCTAGATCTGAGGTCCAGTACATATTAACTCCTAGAGAATGAGTGAAGAAGACATGATCTTCCCACTGTCTGTGGTGTGAGTGTGCATGTGCGTGTGTGTGTGTGTGTGTGTGATGTGTGTTGTTACTGGGGTTTGAACTCAGGGCCTGGGTACTATATGCTTTTTCTCTCCAGGCTTATTTAGCACTCTACCACTTGAGCCACACCTCCACTTTCAGCTTTTTGGTGGTGTAATTGAAGATCAGAGTCTCATGGCCTCAAATCACCTCCTGAGTAGCTTGGACTACACGCATGAGCTACCAGAGCCCAACTAATCACAAGCAGGATCCCATGGGGGGGTGGAAGGGGGAGATACTTCCGGAGAAGTCTTCCTTTCACACTGTACCCAAACTCACACGCCCCACCGGCTCTGCCAGGGGTGAGGGAGTTACCTGCCCACCCCGGAACCGGCCGATGGTGGAGAAGAGGAGGAAGGCCGGGTCAGGGCAGCTGCAGGTCATCCTAAGTCGTGTGCTCTGCCCACGAGCACCACACACCTGGAGCTCACCGGCTTGAGATTTTCCGCCTCACCACCGTGATCCACAAATGTTCTGTTTGCTCTCAGAGCCAGAGAACAGGAACCGCGGCCCTGCCCCCTCCTCCCCACGCCCTCCCTGCCTCCCCTCCGCCTCTTCCAGGCCACACGGGCCGCCTGGGATCCTGGGAAGAAGGAATCACAACCCCTGGGCCTTTGCCCAACCCAGGCTGCAGCCAGGCCAAGGCCTGGGCTGGAAGCAGCTGCAGGACACTTGCTGCACAGAGCGTCTCTTTCTGTTTCAGTTCTGCCCGCAAGCAGCAATTCTCCACTGGCAGAGCTCGGGAGAGACTCCAGGGCCTCTGATTAAAGAGGCGACCGACTATGGCTGGGTCGGACTCGTGTTTTGGTCTCCTCTCCTGGCCATTCGCCGTCCTGGGTTCCACGCCACGGGGTCCCGGGGCTGCAAAGTCCTCTGACTCCCTCCAAGGATGAAGAAGTGGAAGTGGAGGAGATGTACGTCTGCTTTAACAAAAGGCAAAGTGAACACAGAGCAAACGTGCCCTTTGGGGAGGAGAGGGGGCCGACGGGGGAGGGAGGGCGGTCTCCCACGCGGGACCCAGGACAGACGGCCAGGGCCTGCCCTGGACGGCCGCCACCCTGGCCTCCCTGGTGGAGTCAGGGACTCGTCAGTCCCAGGGCTTGTCTTCCTGACTTACAGAACCACGGGGCGGGCGGCGCTAAGGGCTTGCTGGAAGGTGGGTGGCCACACCCACACAAGTCATGCCTCCATCCCATTGGTGGACACACCTGTGCCGTCATCCCATTGGTGGACACACATGTATCTATCCTATTGGTGGACATACTTGTATCATCATCTCATTGATACCCATTATCCTATTGGTGGATACATTCCTGCCTCCATCCCATTGGTGGATACATTCCTGCCTCCATGCCATTGGTGGATGTACTTGTATCATCATCCAATGGTGCCATGATCCCCCTGATAGACACGCCCTGCAGAGAGGGCTGATCCTCTCAATCGCCTGGTCATTCCTTCCTGGCAAGCCAGTGTTCCTGGCAGGCTGCATGTCTGTCTTGTCTGTCTGTCGAGGATGATAAACAAGCCTGCGTTCTCTGCTGAGATACCTAGCCAGCTGCGTCTGTGACTCAGGAAAAGCGTGACCATCGACAATGTCCCCACAGAGTGGGGGGGCTAGCACCATTCCAGGAAAGCAAGCGCTCCGTGACTTTTCTTTTTCCTCTTTAACCCAGCGTAGCTCCTACCCGTATCTGCAGCTTTTAGAGGACATGTGGGTGATGGGTGGGGAGGGTGTTCCTCCCAGCTCGGTTGGGAGCCCCCTCCCCCCTCCTCCACCCTGCTGGACTCTCCCCCCTTTCCTAGTTGGGGTCCTCCCCCTCTTCGTCCTCCTCCTCCAGGGAGCCTCCACCGCTTGCTCACCCGTGTGCGGTATGTTTTCCTGACGATCGCCATTCTGACTGAGATGACGCGGACTCCGGGCATCCTGCTGATGTCCACGCATCACAGCTGAGCAAGTCAAAAACTTCTCCGTGTGTCTGTAAGCCCTCGGCATATCTTCTGAGAACCGTGTGTTCCGTTCGTTTAGCCCGTTGAGTAAGGGGATTATTTGTTCTCTGTGAGCCCCTTGTATGTTTTGAAAATGAGTCCTTTGCCCATTGAACGCTGGAGACAATTCTATTTTTAAACTCCCATTCTGTGGGCTGTCTCTCTTCATTCTGGGCTGCTTCAAATTAAAAAACAAAACAAAACCAAAAAAAAAAAAACAACAAACCAAGTTTCTGCACATCAAAAGAAACAAGGCATGTTTTCTTAATTAGGGCCATTAGCATTGTCAACAAAGAATAAAAGCTGCTTGGCGGAGGACAAAGAAAATCACATTAATTAGGAGCTAATTAGGTTTGTTACTTAGGCAACGCAAATTGAAGTAGCTTTAAATTACGTGGGTCTATGGCTCCAAGGGGAAAAACATGGCAGCTGTATGTCAGAGCAGCTGGGTGGTTTAGACATAGCCATGTGAGTCAGGAATTGCCACGTCTGCTCTCAGCGGTGAAGTGGAGAGAGGGTCACGGAAAGAGGGGGCTGGGCGTGGTCTCAATCTCTGGCATTTGGGGGAAGGATCTGAGGGACCTAAGACCAGAAGATGTGAACAGTATAGAAATGGCAGGCCAGGGCTGGGAAGGTGGCTCAGTGCTAGAGCGCTTGCCTTGCATGCCTGAGGCCCTGGGTTCGATTCCTCAGTACCACATACACAGAAAAAGACGGAAGTGGCGCTGTGGCTCAAGGGGTAGAGAGCTGGCCTTGAGCTGAAGAGCTGAGGGACAGCGCCCAGGCCCAGAGGTCAAGCCCCAGGACCAACTAAAACACCAACGGCAAAAAATTAGAAACAACAAAACCAAACCCCAGAGTCTGGCGCTAAACAATATCTACACACACAGAAAAAAACTCAGCCAACGAAACCGCACGATGCGGGTGTAGGGAAGACGGGAGGAATCCCGCTTTCCCGACCAGCCTCGAGTCCTCTCCCCAATGGCAGTGTTTGAAAAGTCCATTTCCAGAAAAAAAAAAAAAAAAACACATTCATCTCTTGGAGTCCTGAAGACAGAACTCAGAACAAAAGCAGACATCCCTCCCTAGCTCCTTTGTCTCCCATTCAGCTACAAATACAAAAGCCTCCCTCCCTCCTTCTAGATGTTTCCATGATCAAGCTCTCCACGAAGGGGTCAGCACAAACTCCTGCCCACGATCAACGGTGCCATCATCCCCGAGAGGTGGCATCATCCTGGGCTGTAGATCATGGCTGGGCTTTGTACCCAGGCCCCAAGGGCTTCGATGTGCAGGCTGAGGTGATGCCCAGGCCCCAAGGGCTTCGATGTGCAGGCTGAGGTGATGCCATCTACTCGTGATCAAGTCTTCTCTCCTCCTTCACCTGGGTCGCCGTGGATAGGAAAGGATGGCCGTGACCTCACTTGCGTAGCAATTCACAGAGACAAAGAAGGGGGGCTTGTGGGAAGTCTGGGTGGAGAACATCCCTGGATGTCCGCATTTCTCAGGGGCAGAATTACTCAGGAGAAGGCCTGCAGGGTTGGCCTCCGGATTCCAACGCCCGCTGCGATACCGAGTGCATTTGGAGAAAGCCCCACCCCACCAGGTCAGGAAACAGACACGGAGGGACAAGGAGCTACATCCTCAGTCTTGCCAGGGTCTGACTGCGGTCCACAAACCAACGCATCGAATCCTTCCGTCGGGCCCTTCCTTGGGAGAGCTGCAGGCCGAGACGGCGTGGGGGTGTGGGGGACGCTGGAACAGCAGGCCCACATCGAGTGAGCTCCGAGCACCCCTGGAGTTTGGCCAAATGCTTCGGGCGAGGATGCAGAACAGCCCCGCGCTTGTCTGGGGGCCGTTATTCTAGATTACCTTTTTCATACCGATGGCAAACCTACAGCTATTTCCAGAACTTTTCTAGCTCTGTCTAGGTCGTTTCCAGACACTAGACTGGCTATGTAATCAGCTGATTCTGAAGAACGCTGGCGTTGGGTTTCTTAAATTAAAGACAGGGATAGGGGCCTGTGGAACCTGTGCGGTTCTATGGAACAGCTCCATCGCTCCTGCCTCTGTCCAGCTGTGGGCTCCGGCCCCAGCATGCCCTGCTGTGAATCCCCGGGGCCCCGGAGCACTGGATCTGGA